TAAACAAATTGCAAATATAATTCTTATTTTATACCTCAATAGATCGTGATTTCACGAGTACTCCCATCACTGAAGCAGTTGCGCTCATATGAGAATTTCGTTGCTTTAACAGCACGGATCCAGCCAGTGAAACACTTGGAAGCCATTCCAGGTCTGTCCCAGGTTTGCTTATCGAGGAAGCCATCAATACAGAATAGAGATTTTTGTTTTAGCGGCACTGGCACAAACTATTCCTACTTAAGATAAATTGATTTTCTCTTAAACAAGAACGTGAAATCTATTACTTATTTTCAATTGAATTCAAGAGAGATTTTTGTTTTACAGGTATTGGCACAAGTTATACCTCTTTTAGTTTAATTGATTTACGATTAAAAGTTTCAAAGAGATTTTACTACTGTTAGCTAATTTTGACCAAATTTCACTCAGTCTCATTCGGCATAAATTACAAAACAATTTTTAAATCAATGAATATTAAATCTCTAATTACAATAATTATGAATTACTGTGTCAGAGAATAGTTAGTCTATGGTTAGAGTCATTTGTGTTTTCTAGGATTCATTCAAAATGATTGAATTACAAAGAACTGAAAAGGATACAACGCGAAAGACATGGTGCTTATTTTGATTTTGCAAGAGAGCCGCTCTCTTGCAAAATCAAAATAAGCACGATGGCGCGAACGTGGTATGTCCTCTTATTTACTATAGCTCTCGACCAATCACAAAGCGAGAAAACCTATGAAAGTGGCAAAAACAACTTTCCCTATCACAGTATCCTCTGAAATTGGTTTTATAGTATTGTAGTTTTTAAGTTATATATGTAGACGTTGATTCCATTGAGCAAAATATTTTTATTTGATTTACGCACTAGCTCACAAGAATCCACAATGATACAATTATTCACTCAAGTGTCTTCTCCCATTTTGCCATGGCTCTTGCATGGGATTCGGCTGCTTCTTTCACAGTGGCCATTAGTTTAGGTAATGCTTCCTCTATCGCTTTTCTGCTTGAAAAAAAAAAACACAACACAATGAATCAATTGATGCAGCAATTTAAATGTTTCAAAGTCACTGTAATACATACCTTTGACAACGAATTTCTTTCTTGTTTTTTTTTTTCATCGTCACTATTCTTGGAGCTTTCACCCCAAGCATGGTCCTTCCTTCTTGCTTCGTTCAAAGAACGTGTAACATCACTTGCCGATGAAACTGTTTCTGGTGGTACATACCGCTTTCTCCAGGCTATTTCTTTCTCGTATTCTTCAGGCAGCAAATCGTCATTTTCACTTTCTTCGGTGGAACGATATTCTTCCTCGACATAAGTCGCGCTTGACGTAGAACAAGTAGAAGGTAGAAGGTTTTGCTTCGTTCACTAAATGTAAAGCGACAGGAATGTTATTCACTTGTAAAATACTATTAGTTTATCAGTTTAATATTCAAATAAGGGCCCAAAATAAATTACTAAAGCGCGGAAGCTGCCTTACCTTGACACATTTAAGAGTTTTGAAGCTACCCTCTTTCGTACTCTCTCTTCTGCAGCTTTACTTGCCTTCTTTGATTCGGCGCTTCTTATGTAGTAAGTTTGGGAATTACTTGGTAGAATATCTACGYRCTTAACTATAAATTTAACGATTTCTCTATAATTCCCTTTGTGGTGGCCATACGCTGTCTCAATTAACAGGTCTTCAGCTTGACTAAAGTTCAATCTATGATTTCTTTGTTTTTTTTTTTGAGCATTCAGCTAGATCTGTAGATACTTTGCCGGTCAGCGCAGCCTTCAAGAATATATTTGCATCTTCCATGGCGAAGCTGTACGTGACGCTTGCAGAATGAGTCACATGTATTTATACGCAAAAATATCACGAAGGAATCATCGAATAAAAGATGTGGCTTGTCACATTCACAAAACGTTTTTGCAAGTTTCGCATGTAGACGTAGAGAAACATAAACAAAAAATGAAAAGGGGTGTGAGTTCTATCCAAACCGGGGATTTAGGAAATAATGCTCAGTGTAAGGTGATAAGAACATCAAAAAATAAGCTGTGTTAAAAGTTTTTTCAAAGAGTAACAATATTAGCATAACTTGTGCTCTACCCAAAGATAACAAAATTACACCAACAACSTGTAATAGCTGCACTGCTGTTGAGTTAATACACTGTAGATATGCCTAGAAGACAAGTACCGCCACCTCCTATACCTCACTTCCTTGTTCAAGTGTTTCTTCTTATTATT